CATTCGATGCTTTTCCCTACGCATATGAGGATTCATGCACTTCGTTACCATTAGTCAGCAGACACAGCCGTCAGCGTAGGCGCCGAACTTTTTGGTGCACACGAACCAAGCTGGAATTGCTTTGGTAGGTGTATTTGAGCATGTGCCACCCGAATATGCAACAACATTTAGGTCGTTCGAAGCTTTTCCCTATGCATATGAGGATTCATGCACTTCGTTACCATTTGTCGGCAGACATAGCCGTCATCGCAGGCGCCGAACTTTTTGGTGCGCACGAACCAAGCTAGAATTTCTCTGGTAGGTGTATTTGAGCATGGGCCACCCGAATATGCAACAACATTCAGGTCATTCGAAGCTTTTCCCTAAGCATATGAGGATTCGTGCACTTCGTTACCATTTGTCGGCAGACACAGCCGCCATCGCAGGCGCCGAACTTTTTGGTGCGCACAAACCAAGCTAGAATTTCTCTGTAGGTGTATTTGAGCATGGGCCACCCAAATATGCAACAACATTCAGGTCATTCGATATTTTTCCCTATGCATATGAGGATTCATGCACTTCGTTACCCATTTGTCGGCAGACACAGCCGTCATCGCAGGCGCCGAACTTTTCTGTGTGCACGAACCAAGCTGGAATTGCTCTGGTTGGTGCATTTGAGCATGGGCCACCCAAATATGCAACAACATTCAGGTCGCTCGATGCTTTTCCCTACGCCTATGAGGATTCATGCACTTCGTTACCATTTGTTGGCAGAAACAGCCGCCATCGCAGGCGCCGAACTTTTTGGTGCGCACAAACCAAGCTGGAATTGCTCTGGTAAGTGTATTTGAGCATGGGCCACCCAAATATGCAACAACATTCAGGTCATTCGATGCTTTTCCCTATGCATATGAGGATTCATGCACTTCGTTACCATTTGTCGGCAGACACAGCCGTCATCGCAGGCGCCGAACTTTTCTGTGCGCACGAACCAAGCTGGAATTGCTCTAGTAGGTGTATTTGAGCATGGGCCACCCGAATATGCAACAACATTCAGGTCGCTCGATGCTTTTCCCTACGCCTATGAGGATCCATGCACTTCGTTACCATTTGTCGGCAGACACAGCCGTCATCGCAGGCGCCGAACTTTTTGGTGCGCACAAACCAAGCTGGAATTGCTCTGGTATGTGTATTTGAACATGGGCCACCCGAATATGCAACATCATTCAAGTCATTCGATGCTTTTCCCTACGCATATGAGGATTCATGCACTTCGTTACCATTTGTCGGCAGACACAGCCGTCATCGCAGGCGCCGAACTTTTTGGTGCGCACGAACCAAGCTAGAATTTCTCTGGTAGGTGTATTTGAGCATGGGCCACACGAAATTGCAACAACATTCAGGTCATTCGATGCTTTTCCCTACGCATATGAGGATTCATGCACTTCGTTACCATTAGTCATCAGACACAGCCGTCAGTGTAGGCGCCGAACTTTTTGGTGCGCACGAACCAAGCTGAAATTGCTTTGGTATGTGTATTTGAGCATGTGCCACCTGAATATGCAACAACATTTAGGTCGTTCGATGCTTTTCCCTACGCATATGTGGATTCATGCACTTCGTTACCATTTGTCGGCAGACACAGCCGTCATCGCAGGCGCCGAACTTTTTGGTGCGCACAAGCCAAGCTGGAATTGCTCTGGTAGGTGTATTTGAGCATGGGCCACCCGAATATGCAACATTATTTAGGTCATTCGATGCTTTTCCCTACGCATATGAGGATTCGTGCACTTCGTTACCATTTGTCGGCAGACACAGCCGTCATCGCAGGCGCCGAACTTTTCTGTGCGCACAAACCAAGCTGGAATTGCTCTAATAGGTATTTGAGCATTGGCCACTCGAATATGCAACAACATTCTGGTCGTTTGATGCTTTTCCCTACGCCTATAAGGATTCATGCACTTCATTACCATTTGTCGGCAGACACAGCCGCCACCGCAGTCGCCGAACTTTTTGGTGCGCGCAAACCAAGCTGGATTTGCTCTGGTAGGTGTATTGAGCATGGGTTATCCCAATATGCAGCAACATTCAGGTCATTCGATGCTTTTCCCTACGCATATGAGGATTCATGCACTTCGTTACCATTCGTCGGCAGACACAGCCGCCATCGCAGTCGCCGAACTTTTCTGTGCACACGAACCAAGCTTTGGTAGGTGTATTTGAGCATGAGCCACCCGAATATGCAACAACATTCAGGTCGCTCGATGCTATTCCTTACGCCTATGAGGATTCATGCACTTCGTTACCATTTGTCGGCAGACATAGCCGCCATCGCATACGCCGAAATTTTTGGTGCGCACGAAACAAGCTGGAATTGATCTGGAAGGTGTATTTGAGCATGGCCCACCCAAATTGTCAAACTCATATGCTATAGTCTATGTAGGCTGTAGTGGGGTAGCTTATATGGGGTACAACACTTTAGGGTTTGGTACTTGTACTCCTCATGCTGCTCAATGCAATCATTCTCGTTCCAATCTTCACATGGTATCGAGCAGGTTCCCTCATGGGAACTGTTCCTAGGGCCCACCGAATAGCGAGTTTTTTTTTCCTGTCCGGAGCACGCTTAGCCTCTGCCCGAGTCGCGCCCTGTGCCTCCTCTCAGTGGCCTATTGTGGCCCCTCTCGCGGCCCTTAACCGCCCCGTCGCGCCGCCCTTACGGCCCCGTCGCGCCGCCCTAGCGACCCCGTCGCGCCGCACTCGCGGCCCTATCGCGCCGCCCTCGCGGCCCCTTAGCGGCCCCTCGCGGCCCAGTCGCGCCGTCCTCGCGGCCTCTTTGCGGCCCCTCGCGGCCCCGTCACGCCGCCCTCGCGGCCCCTTCGCGGCCTCTCGCGGCCCCGTCGCGCCGCCCTCCCGGCCCCGTCGCGCCGCCCTCGTGCCCCCCCCCTTCACGGCCCCGTCACGCCGCCCTTGCGGCCCCGTCGCCGGCCCCCCTCCTCCCCTCGGCCACGTCGCCGCCCCACAGCGGCCCTGTCGCCGCCCTTCAGCGGCCCCGTCGCCGCCCCTTCAGCGGCCCCGTCGCCGCCCCTTCAGCGGCCACGTCGCCGCCCTTTCAGCGGCCCCGTAGCCGCCCTTCCGCGACCCCGTCGCTGCCCCTTTCAGCGGCCCCGTCGCCGCCCCACAGCGGCCCCGTCGCCGCCCCTTTCAGCGGCCCCGTCGCCGCCCCACAGCGGCCCTGTCGCCGCCCTTCAGCGGCCCCGTCGCCGCCATTCCAGCGGCCCCGTCGCCGCCCCTTCAGCGGCCCCGTCGCCGCCCTTTCAGCGGCCCCGTAGCCGCCCTTCCGCGGCCCCGTCGCACCCCCCTTTCAGCGGCCCCGTCGCCGCCCCTTGCCGCCGTGCCGCCGTGCTGCCGAGCCGCCCTTTCCGCCGAGCTGCCGGGCCGCCTTTGCCGCCGAGCCGCCGAGCCGCCTTTGCCGCTGAGCCGCCGAGCCGCCGTTGCCGCCGAGCAGCCGAGCCGCCGAGCCGCCGAGCCGCCGAGCTGCCGAACCGCATTGCAGCTGAGACGCCGCCGCCTACCAGCCTGCCCCGGAGCGCTTCACTTGCCTGGTAAGAGCAGCGCCTCTACCACTGCACTGCCCTACCCCACTGTGCTCACTCCCTCTCTACTGCTGTCATGGCCACCCCTAGTGTTCTCACCTTTGATGCTGATGGTCGGGCTGTTGACTTTGAGGTCTGGGTAGATGACCTGCAGCTTTTCCTACAGTGCGATAGGGCAGACGGTCTCTCCCTCTTTGACCTCACTTCTGGTGCCTCCCCTGCCCCTGCTGCTGATGCTGACGCCACTGTTCGCTCACAGTGGGCCACGCGCGATGCTGCTGCCCGCCTTGCTGTGCGCCGCCACTTACCGACCGCTGAGCGCGCGCATTTTAGTCAGTACAAGAGTGCTAAGACCTTGTACGACGCTGTAATTGCACGCTACTCTTCCCCTGCCACTGCTCCTCTTAGCCGCCTCATACTGCCGTACCTCTTCCCTGACCTCGCCGCTTTTCCCACAGTCGCTGACCTCATTACGCACCTTCGCACTAGTGACATTCGCTACCGCGCTGCGCTTCCTGCTGAGTTCTGCGCCAAGAACCCCCCCCCTATGTACATCACCCTCTACTACATAGTCACCCGGCTCCCTGACACCCTTCGTTCAGTTAGGGACCACTTCCTCTCTGTCTGCCCCACCACTCTCACCGTTGACCTCCTCGAGGAGCGCCTCCTAGCAGCAGAGAAGGGTATAGTCGCTGTAGGAGCCTCCCGTGGTGACCCTCGTACCCCTGTCTTTGAGGGGTGCTCCCCCTCTCCCCTCTTGCCCTCTGTTGCCTCTGCTGCTGCGGCCGACCTCGTTGGTCTTGAGTCGGTCGGCGCGGCGTCTGCCCCTAGCGGGAGACGCCGCTCAGGCAAGGGCAAGGGCGGCAAGGGAGCTGGAGGAGCTGGCGGGGGCGGTGGAGGAGGCGGTGGAGGCGGAGGAGGGGGTGGGGGTCGAGGTGGGAGTGGTGGCGGGGGTGGGGGCACTAGTGGCAGCAGTGGAGGCGGAGGAGGCAGCGGTGGTGGCGGTGCGAGCGGAGGTAGCGGAGGTGGAGGCGGTGGTGGAGGTAGCGGCGGCGGAGGTGGAGCTGGTCGGGGCGGCTCTGCGCAGAGGGTCGGCTCCGGTGGTGGTCAGCGCCAGCAGCAGCAGCAGCAGCGCACTCGTGAGACCCCCTCCCCCCAGCAGCTTCGTGAGTGGTACACTGCTTGTCAGCGGGGTGGGGGTGCTGGCCCCTGTACCTACGTTCTCCGTACCGGCGACCGCGCGGGTAAGCAGTGTGGGGGTCCGCACTCCACCCAGCGCTGCTTCGGCCGTCTGACGGACGCTTGGCGTCACCAGTTTCCCGACGCTACTGAGATCCCTCGCTGGGGCGAGCTGTTTAGGGCGGGTGTTGCGATCTTTGATCTTGATTATGATGCTATTCTTGCTGCCATGTATGCTGTGACTATTAGTGATGAGGGTGACTGTTACCGGTGTTTTCCGCCTGACCCGGGCATTGAGGCTGCTGCTCTAGGTGCTGGTGAGGCTGCTGCTCTAGGTGCTGGTGAGGCTGCTGCTCTAGGTGCCAGTGAGTCTGCTGCCCCAGGTGCTGGTGAGTCTGCGCTCTCCGGTACCGCGTCGGCTCTGGCCACCCACACCTTCACCCTTGACTCGGGTGCTTCCCGCTCCTTCTTTCGAGACCGCACCACACTCATGCCGCTTAGTCGGCCAGTGGCAGTCTCCCTGGCAGACCCCTCTGGGGGTCCTGTCCTTGCCCACTTCTCCACTGTCCTACCGTGTCCGGCAGCCCCTTCTGGCACCCTGTCAGGTCTTTACCTCCCCTCGTTCTCTACGAACTTGGTGAGTGGTGCAGACCTCCAGGATGCAGGGGTTCACCAGTTCACTCCTGCGAGTCAGCGAGCGACCCACTGTACCTGTGCTCGGACGGGCCGTCACTTGGCCACGTTTACCCGTCGGCCGGGGTCGAGCCTGTACACACTGACTACTGAGTCTCCTCCAGTCGCTGAGTCTGCTCAGGTAGCCGCGTCGGGTCGGGTGTTTGCTGCGGCGTCCAGGTCTGGCCCTGAGTCTGCCCCCTGCTCGTGTCGTCTCCTGTCTCACCAGACTCTCCTCTGGCACCACCGCCTTGGTCACCCCTCCCTGCCTCGTCTTCGAGGCATGGCTTCCCGTGTCCTTGTCTCTGGTCTCCCCCGGTCCCTCCCTCCCCTTCCTCCGGGGCCTGCCCCCACCTGCGTTCCCTGCGTCGAGGGGCGGCAGCGCGCTGCTCCTCACTCCTCCGAGTTCCCTCCGACAGAGGCTCCGCTGCAGACGCTTCACATGGACGTGTGGGGCCCAGCCCGCGTCCGTGGACAGGGTCACGAGCATTACTTCCTGTTGGTGGTTGACGACTACTCGCGTTACACCACGGTCTTCCCCTTGCGCCGCAAGGGTGAGGTCACTGAGGTGTTGATCGCCTGGATCCGCGCAGCTCGTCTCCAGCTCAGAGAGAGTTTTGGCTCGGACTTTCCTGTTCTGCGCCTGCACTCCGACAGAGGCGGAGAGTTTTCCTCTGACCTTCTGCGAGCCTTCTGTCGCGCACGAGGCATCCGCCAGACTTTCACGCTTCCGGACTCTCCACAGCAAAATGGGATTGCTGAGCGCCGCATTGGCATGGTCATGGACGTCGCTCGTACGTCCATGGTCCATGCGGCTGCCCCCCATTTTCTGTGGCCGTTTGCGGTTCGGTACGCGGCGCATCAGATCAACCTTCAGCCCCGGGTCTCCATGCCGGAGACCTCCCCTGCTTTGCTGTGGACGGGGAAGGTTGGCGATGCGTCTGCGTTCCGTGTCTGGGGATCTCGGGCGTTTGTCCGCGACTTGTCTGCGGACAAGCTGTCCCCTCGTGCTGTTCCCTGTGTCTTCCTTGGCTTCCCCCCTGACGCGCCAGGCTGGCAGTTCTACCACCCCACCTCGCGCCATGTTCTGTCCTCCCAGGACATCACGTTTGACGAGTCGGTTCCCTACTACCGTCTCTTCCCCTGCCGCACTGCGTCCCTCCCCCCCCCGCCGCTCTTCCTTACGCCAGGTCCCCCTCCGGTAGACCCCCTCCCCCCTCAGGGTCCTGCCCCCTCAGGTGTGTCCCAGGTAGACGCAGTCGAGCCTGTCGAGGTAGCTGTTGACTCAGGTGCTGCTAGGGGTGCTGAGCCTGCGGGTGCGGGGTCTGGGGGTGCTGAGCCTGGAGGTGCTGAGTCTGGGGGTGCTGTGCCTGGGGGTGCTGAGCCTGGGGGTACTTTGCCTGGGGGTGCTGAGCCTGGGGGTACTGCGTCTGGGGGTGCGGAGTCTGAGGGTACTGGGCCTACTCGTGTGGCGCCTGGTGGTGCTGGGCCTGGCGGTTCTTCGGGTGCTTCGTCCCGGCGGGAGCTACTCTCTCCACAGGAGCTGCGAGAGTGGTTTGCCCGGCGCTGGAGGCGTGCTGCTGGAGCTGGAGGTGCTGCGGGCACTGGAGGTTCTGCTGCTGCTGAGGGTCCTGGTGCCGCGGGTCCCGGAGGTGCTCGTACTGGGAGTACTGGAGCTGCTGGGCCTGCGGGCACTTCTCGTACTCGAGCTGGTGGTGCTGCGGGCGTCGGTGCTACTGGGGGTGCTGGTGCTGGTGGACCTGCTGTGTCTTCTGGTGGTCCAGCTGGAGCTGGAGCTGCTGGGGGTGTTGGCGCTGAGGGTGCTTCTGGTGCTGGTGCCTCTGAGGGTGCTGGAGTTGGCGCTGCTGGAGCTGGGGGTACTACTGGCACTGGTACTGTCGTTCGGGGTGCTGGTGCTGTCCCTTCTGGTGCTGGTGGTGCTGAGCGGCCGCGGCCGTACTTTGTTCCGCTCCTTGAGCAGGTTCTTGGCCTTCCGCCCTCTGCTAGTCCAGCTCCTCCCTTAGAGTGTCCACCGCCTGTCCTGTCCGAGTCACAGTTACAGCCTGCCTCTCCTCTACCAGCTCCTTCTCCCTACACTGGTCCTACTGGAGGTCTTGCTGAGCGTCGTGAGCCTGCGTCTCGCCCTGCGTCGCCTGTCCGTGCTGCTCGCACTAGTGGTCGTGGTTCGCGTCAGCGTCCTCCCCCTGTCCCCGGCACGCACTGGATGTCTCTGCGTCCTTCCACTGCTCCACTGCGTGCCCCTTTGCCTTCTCCTCCTGAGTCCTCTCTTCCTGCTCTTGCTGACCCCGAGTCAGACTCCCTTCGTGCTGCCAGTCCTACTGTCACGCGTCTCCTTGCTACTGTCGTCACTGACCCTTCCTTTGAGTCCACTGCTGCGTCTGCCCTAGTTGCTGAGCTTGTCGACTTCGCTGCTCGCTGTCGTCTAGACTACGCTGCCAGTCTTGTCGCTGAGTCTGAGTCTGTCTGTCCTCCGTCCGTCGGGGGTGAGTGTGCTCTTGGCACGGACGTCCTTGAGGACAGGCAGGAGGAGTTCCAGTGTCTTGCGGCTGCTTCACCTCATCTCGTGTCCATGCTACTTGCCCCTGAGGGAGACCCGGATGCACCAGACATCCCGACTCCGCGCTCTTACGCGGAGGCGATAGAGGGTCCCTACTCCTCTCAGTGGCAGGCAGCCATGGATGCAGAGATGGCTTCCTGGAAGTCCACAGGCACCTACGTTGACGAGGTTCCCCCGCCTGGGGCGAACATCGTCAGTGGCATGTGGATTTTCAGGGTGAAGCGGCCGCCGGGTTCTCCGCCTGTCTTCAAGGCGCGCTACGTGGCTCGTGGCTTCAGCCAGCGGCAGGGAGTTGACTACTTTCAGACCTTCTCTCCCACCCCGAAGATGACCACTCTTTGGGTACTACTGCACATAGCCGCTCACCGTGACTACGAGCTTCACTCTCTTGACTTCAGCACTGCTTTCTTGCAGGGCAGCCTGCACGAGGAGATCTGGCTGCGCCGCCCACCTGGCTTCATTGGGACTTTTCCTCCTGGCACCCAGTGGAGCCTCCGGCGGCCAGTCTACGGTCTCCGCCAGGCACCTCGTGAGTGGCACGACACACTGAGGACTACACTTGCGGCTCTTGGGTTTGCTCCTTCTACTGCCGACCCGTCGCTGTTTCTGCGCACCGACACTTCTTTGCCGCCGTTCTACATCCTCGTGTACGTCGACGACTTGGTCTTTGCCACAGCTGACACTGCTGGACTCGCCTACGTGAAGTCCGAGCTGCAGAAGAGACACACGTGCACAGACCTAGGTGAACTGCGCAGCTACCTTGGCTTGCAGATCACCCGGGACAGAGCACAGCGCACCATTACCCTGACTCAGTCACACATGGTGCAGCAGGTCCTTCAGCGCTTCGGCTTCACGTACTCCTCGCCTCAGGCCACTCCTCTGTCTACTCGCCACTCGCTCTCAGCTCTGCCTTCGGATGAGTCCGTAGAGTCGAGTGGCCCGTACCCAGAGCTTGTTGGCTGCCTCATGTACCTGATGACCTGCACGCGACCTGACCTTGCTTACCCTCTTAGCATTCTGGCACGCTATGTTGCTCCTGGGAGACACAGACCAGAGCACATGGCTGCAGCGAAGAGGGTGTTGCGTTTTTTGTGCAGTACGTCAGGCATGGGGCTTGTGCTTGGAGGGCGGAGTCCAGTGGTCCTCACTGGTCACGCAGACGCTTCTTGGGCTGACGACCAGGCTACGCAGCGGTCGTCACAGGGTTACACCTTCAGCCTTGGTTCCGGCTCTGTATCGTGGCGGTCTACCCGCTCGTCTTCTGTTCTCGGCTCCAGCTGTGAGGCTGAGATCTACGCAGGGGCCATGGCTGCACAGGAGCTACGCTGGCTCACCTACCTGCTGACTGACCTAGGAGAGCCGCCTCGTTCTCCTCCAGTTCTGTACGTAGACAACAAGGCCATGTTGGCCTTGTGTCGGGAGCACAGACTGGAGCACAGAACGAAGCACATCGCTCTTCGCTACTTCCTTGCTCGTGAGCTGCAACAGCGCGGTCAGCTGCGCCTTGCTTACGTGGCCTCTGAGGCCAACACTGCTGATATCTTCACCAAGGCACTCGCGCCTTGTGACCATCAGCGCTTCTGTACTTTGGTAGGCCTTGTGTCTACCTTGCCTCACTTGCTCACTTCTTGACCTTGCTTGTACCTTGACCTTTATATACTTGCACTTGCATGTTTAGCTTCATATATATATATACCTGCATGTGAAATGGCCTTGTGGCCGTTGAACTTGTGCTCAGAATGTGTGGTGACGTTGTGATCCACCCTGAGCTTGCTGTGCTTTGCTTGACTGGTCTTGTGACCCCTTGTTCTCCCCCACTTTGCCTATGGGGGTGTGTCAAACTCATATGCTATAGTCTATGTAGGCTGTAGTGGGGTAGCTTATATGGGGTACAACACTTTAGGGTTTGGTACTTGTACTCCTCATGCTGCTCAATGCAATCATTCTCGTTCCAATCTTCACACAAATATGCAACAACATTCAGGTCGTTCGATGCTTTTCCCTACGCCAATGAGGATTCATACACTTCGTTACCATTAGTCGGCAGACACAGCCGCCAACGCAGGCGCCAAAGTTTTTTGTGCGCACAAACCAAGCTGGAATTGCTCTGGTGGGTATATTTGAGCATGGGCCACCCGAATATGCAACAAAGTTCAGGTCATTCAATGCTTTTCCCTACGCATATGAGGATCCGTGCACTTCGTTACCATTTGTCGGCAGACACAGCCGCCATCGCAGGCGCCGAACTTTTCTGTGCGCACGAACCAAGCTGGAATTACTCTGGTACGTGTATTTGAGCATGGGCCACCCGAATATGCAACAACATTCAGGTCGTTCGATGCTTTCCCTACGCCTATGAGGATTTATGCACTTCGTTACCATTAGTCAGCAGACACAGCCGTCAGCGCAGGCGCAGAACTTTTTGGTGCGCACAAACCAAGCTGGAATTTCTTTGGTAGGTGTATTTGAGCATGAGCCACCCAAATATGCAACAACATTTAGGTTGTACGATGCTTTTCCCTACGCCTATGAGGATTCATGCACTTCGTTACCATTTGTTGGCAGACACAGCCGTCATCGCAGGCGCTGAAATTTTCTCTGTGCACGAACCAAGCTTGGATTGCTCTGGTAGGTGTATTTGAGCATGGGTTCAGGTCGTTTTATGGTTTTCCCCACGCCTATGAGGATTCATGCACTTCGGTACCATTAGTCGGCAGACACAGCCGTCATCGCAGGCGCCGAACTTTTTGGTGCGCACAAACCAAGCTGGAATTGCTCTGGTAGGTGTATATGAGCATGGGCCACCCGAATATGCAACAACAATTCGGCGCACATAAAAGTTCGGTACATAAAAGTTCACATAAAAGTTCGGCGCCTGCGATGACGGCTGTGTCTGCCGACAAATGCTAAGGCAGCGCATGCATCCCAGTAGGCGTAGGGAAAAGCATCGAACAACCTGAACGTTGTTGCATATTCGGATGGCCCATGCTCAAATACACCTACCTGAGCACTTTCAGCTTGGTTCGCGCGCATAGAAATGTTCGGCGCTTGCGATGATGGCTGTGTCTACCGACAAATGCTAAGGAAGCGCATGCATCCCCATCTGCGTAGGGAAAGGCATTGAACAACCTGAACGTTGTTGAATATTCGGGTGGCTCATGCTCAAATATACCTACCTGATCACTTTGAGCTTGGTTAGTGCGCACAGAAAAGTTCGGCGCCTGTGATGACGGCTGTGTCTGCCGACAAATGCTAAGAAAGCGCATGGATCCCTATAGGCGTAGGGAAAAGCATCGAACGACCTGAACGTTGTTGCATATTCGGGTGGCCCATGCTCAAATACACCTACCTGAGCACTTTCAGCTTGGTTCTCGCGCACAGAAAAGATCGGCGCTTGCGATGACGGCTGTGTCTGCCAACGAATGCTAAGGAAGCGCGTGCATCCCTTTTTTTGCGTGGGGAAAAGCATCGAACAGCCTGAACGTTGTTGCATATTCGGATGGCCCATGCTCAAATACACCTATCTGAGCACTTTCAGCTTGGTTCGCGCGCACAGAAAAGTTCAGCGCTTGCGATGACGGCTGTGTCTGCCGACAAATGCTTAGGATCACACATCTTCACTCCATGGTGTCTACTCGCATCGCGTCACCCAAGAAAGTGTCGACTCACCTCACATCTCCACTCCATGATGTCTAGTCGCATCGCGTCAGAAAAAAAAAGTTTCGACTGACCTCATTTCTCCACCCCAAGGTGTATATTCACATTGCATCACCCTAAAAAGTGTTGACTCATCTCACATCTCCACCCCATGGTGTCTAGTCACATGACATTACCCAGAAAAATGTCGACTCATCTCATACTCCACCCCATGGTGTCTAGTCACATTGCGTCACCCAAAAAAGTGTCGACTCACATCACATCTCCACTCCATGGTGTCTAGTCACATCGCGTAATTTAAGAAAGTGTCGACCCACCTCACATCTCCACTCCATGGTGTCTAGTCACATCACGTCACCCTAGAAAGTGATGTACCCTTTTTTATTCGCATGTACTTGCATGTGTTAATCATCTCAATCATTTTACATCCACTCTGATTTGAGGTCAAGGGCCCACCACTACCATACACTCTGTGCGAACCTTCTCGAGGTGATCCTAGGTTCGATCAACTTCTGATCGCAGCAAACCACACGGACGTGAAGTGCTTGGGCTATCCTCGCTAAGGGCAGGCTACAGTAATGAATTTCTACATTCTTTTTTTTTGCTTATATGAATTATACACCAGAACAAAAGTGTACAATGCATAAACAGTCGTAAATGTGCATGAGAGACGAGAAGACCCGCCTCAGAATATTTGATCCTCAGACATGGATCCGGGGCATGCGTGGTTTGCCCCAAACCGCCGCGAAGCTGCTGGACCACTTCCAACCTTTGCCATCCACCACTCTGATGCGATTCAGAAGGTCTCGTTCCTATTCCGTCATTTTCTGCCACCTGGCGTGCTGCCCTTTCCCACGCTGTTGCATCCTCGCTGCCGAGGCACGTACATAGACATTCACATGCATGCGAAAAGCTTACTCAATCCGCCGCAGCACCCTCCGCGTGCGGAATTTACAGCCTCTGTAAGCCCCTTCTAGTTATGGAATATAGTTCTTCATAGTTCAAATCGCAATAATTTTTAGACTTTTACCGCAGCTAGTCCACGCCGCACCGCCCTCTCCTTATAGTTGCTACCACCCCTGACAATTTTTGCGAAATGACTGTCACGAACGAGGATCATTAGGGCGGTCCGAAAGCACACGAAACCAACCAGACCAGCGACACCTGCAACCGCGCGTCGCAAGAAAGAAGAGATGGCTTTCGTAGGGGAACGACATTCCCCGCCCTGCCACCATCACTGTGCCACAACCACATCTTCTCCTCTCCCCTGGGTGCCCCTAGCCCGCCTCGTGCTAGTTCACAAATGGGTGTCTGCTTCACCCCTACCATCCCATATCAAGATTGCTGCAAAATACGTTACTGACGCGCTCGGATCCCCGTGTCTTGCTTCTGCTCCCTATTGAGCCGTTTCATGATTATTCGGCATCGATTTTCCGCTCAGGCTTAAAGTCTTGTAAACAACAAGCAAATATTCTTCCCATTTCAGCGACGACTTCGCCCCTCTCCACTACCCACCAGCACTACCGAAATTTCTGACGGTGGTACCAGCCGCATTCCTGCCAATTCACAGCATTCCGCGTTTGCAGACAACAAGCAGCAGCGCCGCATCTCCTTCATAGAACTTCCTCGCTCGCCATGCCCCCCGCGCTCAACCGGTCGTCGTCGGCAGCGGCAGCGGCGGCGAACGCCAAGATGTATTCGGCGCAGGGGCCGCACGTGGTGGGGCTGGACGAGATCGAGGCGCTCAAGGCGTCGGCCAACAACCTCTTCGTCGAGGGCAAGTTCGGCCAGGCCATCATCGGTGAGTGAGTGCAGCGCCAGGCCATCATCGGTGAGTGAGTGCCGCGCCAGGCCATCATCGGTGAGTGAGTGCCGCGCCAGGCCATCATCGGTGAGTGAGTGCCGCGCCAGGCCATCATCGGTGAGTGAGTGCCGCGCCAGGCCATCATCGGTGAGTGAGTGCCGCGCCAGGCCATCATCGGTGAGTGCCGCGCCAGGCCATCATCGGTGAGTGCCGCGCCAGGCCATCATCGGTGAGTGAGTGCCGCGCCAGGCCATCATCGGTGAGTGAGTGCCGCGCCAGGCCATCATCGGTGAGTGAGTGCCGCGCCAGGCCATCATCGGTGAGTGAGTGCCGCGCCAGGCCATCATCGGTGAGTGAGTGCCGCGCCAGGCCATCATCGGTGAGTGAGTGCCGCGCCAGGCCATCATCGGTGAGTGCCGCGCCAGGCCATCATCGGTGAGTGAGTGCCGCGCCAGGCCATCATCGGTGAGTGAGTGCCGCGCCAGGCCATCATCGGTGAGTGAGTGCCGCGCCAGGCCATCATCAGTGAGTGAGTGCCGCGCCAGGCCATCATCGGTGAGTGCCGCGCCAGGCCATCATCGGTGAGTGCCGCGCCAGGCCATCATCGGTGAGTTTTTTTTTTGGGGGGGCTTTTGGGTGAACCCAGGAGGAAATCATCATAGGTGAGTGCCGCGCAAACCACACACACACCTGCCACCTGCCAGCTGCTCCCTGCGTGCGGACGACAGCCGTCAAACCCGATTCCCGAAGCGTTTACGGCCAGGCGGAAAGTCATTACCGCTGGTTTGTGGTCCGCGGAGAGCGGTGGGTGGGTGCAAGGTGTTGGAGTTGGCCAGAATCCCTAATCCCTTCACCATTCCCTTCCTCACCTGCTCTCCGTCTTCTTTTGCCCGACCTAGGTTTCTAAACCCCCAAACCGCCTCGTACCTGGCCGTGCCCTCACGTCGCGTTATTATTTCCACTCACCCGCCCGCCCGTTCTCCCGCCCTCCTGCCCGCCTGCCCTCCTGCCCTCCCGCCCTTCTGCCCGTGTGACCGCGTGCCCGCGTGGCCGGCAGGCTACAGCTACGCCATCAAGCAGATGGCGGGGCTAATCGTGCCGTCCGCGCGCCGCGCCAGCACCAATCTCGACAGCCCCTCCGCCGTCGCCAGCGCCGTGCGCGACGCCAAGCCCGACCCGCGCACCGCGCAGCTCGCCGCCATCTTGTACAGCAACCGCGCTGCGGCCTACTTGAAGCTTGAGAAATACGACAAGGTGAGTTAATGTCAGCGTACTGGGAACCGCGCGAGACGGATTACTAAGGACTGTGATGCTAGAAACACTGGAGTCTCTTCCGACGAATGGGTTGTAAACGAAATTGAACGGATGTGTTGGTCCTAATCTGGAAGGCGATTTCAAAGCTCAACACAGAGGTCACAGACCGTGAACGACCTGGATCCAACTTGTCACGGCTTCAGTGCCGCGCATCGTACGCGGACACAGCCCGCTTTCTTAGGCCTGCTGCACCGCTCCCTACCCTTTTCTCATTCCAATCCCCCTTCCTCCATGTCCTCACGTTTCTCGGCAGCTCGCTATACGTCTCCCTCCCCTACTATCTCTCCCGCCCGTCCACAAAGCACGATTGCGAACAGCTGCCTGGCACCGCCTACACACTCCTAGACAGTTTGACAGGTCGAAGGCACGAGCGCAGCCCGTTTCCACTGACGCCCTGGCTCGCCTCTATTAAAACCCCTCCCACGCTTCCTGCTCGCATCCAGTTGACCACACTGCATCCGTGTGGGGGACGCGCAATGGCATCTGATAGCCCTCCTTAACCTAGTGTGATCGAATCGGCTTTCCCTCACCCTCACCCTCACCATTCTCCCATTATTTCCTCACTCCCAGCTCCCCTTTCCGTTGCCTCATTGCCTTGCTTGCGTTTCTTCTGACCTTTCCGCATTCCTCCTCTCCCTCTCCCTGCGTGGCGGGCCCACCCAACAGGCGGCGGTGGATGCGGGGGCGGCGGCGGGGATAGACGCGAGCAACTTCAAGGCGTGGCTGCGCAAGGCCATGGCGCACAAGGAGCTAGGGCAGTGGTACGACTGCCACGTGGCGTGCAAGGCCGCCCTGCGCCTGGAGCCCGCCAACGAGGACGCGAGGAGCCTGTTCGAGGAGTCGCAGTTCAAAATGGGGTCCGTGCCGCAGCACCCCGCCCCCCAGCCACAGGCAGCGCCGGCGCCACAGCCCTCGTCAAAGAGGTTCGGCTTGTTTGGCAGAAGATGATTCACGGTGCAGCACGGTGGGGATGGATGTTGAGTGGAGAAGGATGTGCTGATGAAGGTTGGATTACAGGGTGTGCATGGGGATGATATGATACGCCCAGACAAGGCTGCTAGAAGAGCTCTTGGGTGAGCTTTGGGGGAGAAACTGGCAAGACGTTCACGTTAGGTTAGCCAAGTGACAAGGATGAGGAGAGTTGAGAACGTAGGGAGCATAAGGTTCCCCTAAAGGCTGATTTCTGTAGAAATCAGTAAAGGAGACATATTCGTGTAAATAAACTCAAAACAACCATTCGTAGAGTAAGAATGAAGTATGGTATACCGTATTCTATAATCCAATACTTTGGTCAGAAACATGTCCCAAAAAAGGTAGTCAATATGGACCCCAGAAGATTGTTTCATAGGGGATTGGGAAGGTCCTCTATTTGCCTATCTTGTATTAGACCCTGTTGCCCTTAGTGAGCAGTATTGGTTCTGTGCATGCTTATCATGGGGAAAGCTAGCAACATGGCCTGGCAGCAGCCACCTTGGCTTTGGTACCGGTAGCCACTGTACTCCAAAAAAACCACAGCTCCCATCATACATGATAGCAGGTGAAAGTATGTCAAAATATTCTTGGCTTTAAGCATCATGCTTCTCTGGGGGGGTAAGGAAGGCCTGGCCTGGCTTCCTGTTAGCAAGAGGGCCGTGATTCTCAGCAGCTGGAACATGGTAGGAGGGCGTGTAGCACAGCAACAGTGAGGAGAATGGAGAAGGCTGCAAGAGGCATGGATCATGGAAGCACGAGAAGCAGCACATAACCCACCTTGGCATTGACTCGGTCGTGCACCAGCCTGTTCTCCTGCTTCCACTCCACAAAGTCAGCGCGAGCGATCTTCGTGAAGCCCCTGCCTCACACCACGGCGCATCGCCGGAAAGAAGGGGGGATGTGCAGAAGCAGATTGGCACAGAGCGCAGAGCACAGGGGTGGGCCCTTCATCGGCCTCCCCAGTACACCAAGATTTTGCTCGCCCTCCCCTCACACCCCATTCCGCGGTGTTTCCTCGTGCGCACCTCAGCACTGCCGCGCGCCCATGCACTCACCACTTGTGGCTGGCAATGACCTTCTGCCGCCCGGGGAACTTGAACTGGGCGCGGCGCAGAGCCTCGGCGGCGACAGCGGCGTTGGCCTCCTTGCAGCGCACCGACAGAAGCACCTGCCCGATGGCCACGCGCGCACACACGCCCTGCGGCTTTCCAAACGCCCCTCGCATGCCCGTCTGCAGCCTGCGCAGTGCAACACCGCGCACACAGTGAGCGCGCATACCGCCAGGCGCATGGAGTCAGCGCGTACCACTCAATACACAAAACTCCCTGCACCACGCTACCACGCGCCTGGGCGCAGGACGCCTATGTGACGCCGACACACGTGTAACATCGCACACCATCGCCCCCGCCGGCGCGAGACGTGCGGACATCGTAACGCCGTCACACGGACATATGGCACTACATAGAGGCGGCTTGCTGACGAGGCGGTCGCACCTGACGAGGCGGTCGCACCTGACGAGGCGGTCGCACCTGACGAGGCGGTCGCACCTGACGAGGCGGTCGCACCTGACGAGGTGGATGCAGAAGGGGAACTCGTCGACGCGCCGCTTCTTCATGCCCACATCGTAAATGCGGATCTTCGCATCTGCACCCCGCCCGTCGCCCCACCACACCACCAACCACCAACCACACCCGCAGTCACCGCGCCGCGACCAGAGTCAGCCACCTCACGCGCAATGTGAATCCTTAAAAGGCGGGACGCTGCAAGAGTGCGGGAATTGACGACGTACCGGGAACACCGCGGCAGTAGCGCGACTTGGGTTACGGCTTGTTCTTAATCCGGCGGTAGCATCTCGCGGGGCCTGGCGGCGGGCGCAAGGAGAAGAGCACCAAACCACAAACGCAAGGGTTGGGTCAGCAGCCGTCCGCGCCGGCGGAATTTCTACACGCGCAAACGGGCGCAATGCGCGGGCTGAGCGAGACGCGCGCGACAGGGCGACCCATGGCGCCTCTCGCGGGAAATCAAGGCGAAAGGGGAGAAGGGGAAAGAGTTGAGCAATCAAAGGCAGCGAGGTAAGGTGAGGTGCGAGAGGGCCACAGGGGGACACTCCGCTCCCCAGGTATGGTGGAAAGCACGCACCTTTCGCGTTTCCAAACGAACTGCAAGGCTCGGTGGCGAGCTTGGTTCGGCTCGGACCTCAGCCAAAGGGCTCTCACAGATGTTGTGCTTCGAAAAAAACAGATTCATCGGTAAATGTGTTGGTTTTGGAAGAAACACTGGCAGGAAAGTCAAATATCGGGGATAGATTATGCAGACATCGAAGTTTCAGGAATTCGCCTTCGCTGTCGCCTGCTTCCCATCGGGCGACAGGTACGCGCGCTTCGCTGCTTCGCTTTAGCCATGCTCCGCGCGCCCGCCTCTCCCCCATCCAACAACGCCGCCGCGCCTGACCATCGCGACGCCACTCGCCGCCCTCCTTCCAGATCGCTCGTCGCCGCGCCACGCGCCACGCCGCGAGGCCGCGACAGCGACGATCGCAGCTACTGCCGGGGCAGGGAGCCGCTACGACCGCCGCACCTCGCGCGCCCTGCGCTTTCCGCCTCGCGGCCGCTTGCGCCCACTCGACCGCCGCGTGCCCCACGCGCACGATGGCAGCGAATCTTGGTAGCGGTGCTGTCCTTAACGGGGATCGCGCTCGCCCTGGCTCCGCTGGCGGGTGGCGGGCGATGGCGGCGGGCGGTCTCGTATCCATGGCGTCTCCCCGTGCTGCGACGAGCTGGCGACGACGCCATGCGACACACCGTCTGGCCCAGCGACGGGGACCTGCGACTATCCGACGACAGAGACGGCCGCTTCGCGGGTGGGTGGGGAGGAGGGGGGAACATGGGCCAAGGGCTGGCAGCACAGGGGGATGCGCGGAGCGCGGGGAATGGGAGCTGGGGTTGGCGCAACTGGAAGGGTGCGGGGGAAGGTGAGCTGGGCGGGGGGCTGAGTGAAGCGCGGAGGAGGGAGGCGCTGCAGGGGCAGGAGTGGGGCAGCAGAGGGGCGAGGCTGAGAGCAAGGGCTGCAGGGGAGCAGAGCCGGCGAGGCGTGGGCGGTGGGGGCGTGAGGGAGCAGCGGGCAGAGGTTTCAAGGGGCGAGCAGGGCGGCGAGGGGGCGGGCACGGGGGCAGCGGGCAGCAGCGGTGGCGGAGGCGGGCAGCAGTACGGCGTGCAGGCGGTGCAGCGGGAGGCGTGGTGGACGGCGTTCCAGAGGGGCGCGGTTGTGAGCTCACAGGGCGTCCACCAGTGCTCCTCGCTGCTGCCCCCTGACATCCAGCCACTCAACGTGTGCGTGCTCTCCCCCCCTCACACACACGCCTTCCTGTGCTTGCATGAAGCTCCTTACTGCTCCCTCTCGCCCTCCCTTCACTTTCCCCCCTGCAATTCCATCTGTCTCCCATCCCCATCGCTCTCCCATCCCCATCGTTCTCCCATCCCCATCTCTCACTGCACCCCTGTCCCCAACCACATCAGTGCACGAGTGCCCCCTACAGCGCGCCTCTCAGTGGCGGACCTCACGCTGCCGGACGCGCGGTGGCTGCTGGTGCTGCCACGGCACGGTGTGGGCAACACGCTGCGAGGGTGGGTGTCGCGCTGCACTGCCTCACTAAATTGCCCCGCTGTCCTGTGCTCCACCCCCGGGCCCCCCCCGCCACGCCCACTGCAGCGGTGGCGGAGACAGTGGCATCGGACTACCCCCTACTGGCCACGCGGGCCGGCACCTTCTTTGATGCCTTCTGGGAGCGCTCGCCCCCGCTGCGCGCCTGTGTCCTGGCCACCTTCCACTGCGCCTCCCTCCACTGCGTGCGCTCCAAAGCCCTCTTCGCCCTCCTCGGCGCCGGCCCCTCCCCCGCCCTGCTGCTCGCCGCCCGCTCTGTGCTGCACGGCCCAGCCGGCAATGGGGGGGAGGAGGCGGGCCGTGCAGGAGCGGGAGAAAGGGGGAAGTCTGGCGGGGAAGGGAGGAAGGGAGGCGAGAGGGCAGGTGCAGAGCACATGGCGGAACGACAGACGCACAAAGGGCGGACGGAAACAGGCGGGGCGGCCCCTGGGCAGACCACCAAGCGGCATCTCCTGGGCGTGCGGGGCGCGGTTGCAAGTGAGGGAAGGGAGAGGGGTGGAGGTGCGGCGGAGCAAGGGGAGGTGCAGGGAGAGGGGGCGGTGTGGTTTGACGTGGCGGTGCATGTGCGCACTCGCACTCTGGCCGTGGAGAAGGCTGTCAAGCCGGGCAGCACCGACACACAGTGGCAGGGGTGCACCGATGCAGGCGCCAAGCCTTCGGCCTCGCCCTTCCTGCAGGACTGCCTGTGGCGCTGCGTGCTCTCCACCGTCGCCCTCCTCGCTGCCAACAGCAGCAGCAGCAGTGGCAGCAGCAGCCATGCGGACACGCAATCAGTGGGCTCGGCAGGAGGGCGGGGAGGGAGGAGGGTGACGGTGTTTGTGGCGACGGACAACGAGGAGCTGAGGCCGGTGTTTGTGGAGCGCCTGCAGCGCATGGAGGGCGCACACGTGTACTGGTCCGCAGCAGCAGTGCGCCACACGTCTAAGGCGGGCGCTGATGGGAAGGCGGGGCTGGGGGGGCTGCATGGGCTGGCCGACTGGTGGCTGCTGTCATGCGCCTCTGCTGTGCTACAGGTGGCGCATGCTAGCTCCTTTGCTTACTTCGCTGCTCTCTTTGCCAATAGCACTCTTGCTTCGATTTCCACGCTAAATGGCCACTGTGATGTACATTATGAGCATATAGCAGAACCTGTTACATGAGTAAAGGCTGCCGCTTAGCTAAATAATCTAGTGCTTGGCGTCGGCCACACGAAACCGTCCAACAGACTGCATAGAACACATCAGAAGGGAGCTGTACGCAATGACACATGCTGCTCATGGCAAGGAACTGCTCCACATATGCCTGCACTTGCCTCTCGCTCTCCCTCGCATCCATCCCTGCACACATGACACGAATCTCCTTGGTCCTTTTTCCAATGCCTGGCCGCTGCGCTCATGCTGGCGCGTGTGCCTGGGCGGGGTCAGGCTGGCCTGGTGTGGTGGTGATGGGCCGGCCGAAGAGAGCAGCAATGGCGGCCGTGGGGTCGCTGGTGCGCACGAGAGACTCGCCCACCAGCACCTGGGGGGAAGAGACGGGTGGGTGCAGGTGTGGAGGATAGGTGCAGGAGATGGAGGCAAGAGCAAGAAGGCGTGCGGCCCACATGGCCGTGGGGGGGAAGGGGTGGAGAGGAGGGGTTGGTGCGGCTCGTAACATATAAACATGAGGAACGGTGGGTTAGTGGGGCATGGGCAAGCAGGTTGGGCAAGCAGGTTGGGCAAGCAGGTTGGGCAAGAAGGTTGGGCAAGCAGGTTGGGCAAGCAGGTTGGGCAAGAAGGTTGGGCAAGCAGGTTGGGCAAGCAGGCTGGGCAAGCAGGTTGGGCAAGCAGGTTGGGCAAGCAGGTTGGGCAAGCAGGTTGGGCAAGCAGGTTGGGCAAGCAGGTTGGGCAAGCAGGTTGGGCAAGCAGGTTGGGCAAGCAGGTTGGGCAAGCAGGTTGGGCAAGCAGGCTGGGCAAGCAGGTTGGGCAAGCAGGTTGGGCAAGCAGGTTGGGCAAGCAGGTTGGGCAAGCAGGTTGGGCAAGCAGGTTGGGCAAGCAGGTTGGGCAAGCAGGTTGGGCAAGCAGGCATTGCAAGGTGCACTCACAGCATTGCAGCCCGCGTTTTGCACGAAGGCAACATCATCGGGAGTGAAGAGGCCTGACTCGCCCACCACCTGACTCACAGCACACCACGCCATGGACGCATGGGGGCATGGAGAGCAGCAATACGCACAGAGGGGCATGGGGGCATGGTGTGCATGGTGGTGTCATGGGGGCATGGTGTGCATGGTGGTGTCATGGGGGCATGGTGTGCATGGTGGTGTCATGGGGCCATGGTGTGCATGGTGGTGTCATGGGGCCATGGTGTGCATGGTGCGTATGGTGCGCATGTGCGAGACGAACGCAGTGAACCTTTGCACATGCCGACTGAACATCTTCTCAGCCCTCCCCGCGTCACCATCATCCCCCCCCTCACCTCAGGTCCTCACCGTCATGCAGCCCCCCCTCACCATCATGCAGCCCCCCCTCACCATCATGCAGCCCCCCCTCACCATCATGCAGCCCCCCCTCACCATCATGCAGCCCCCCCTCACCATCATGCAGCCCCCCCTCACCATCATGCAGCCCCCCCTCACCATCATGCAGCCCCCCCTCACCATCATGCAGCCCCCCCTCACCATCATGCAGCCCCCCCTCACCATCATGCAGCCCCCCCTCACCATCATGCAGCCCCCCCTCACCATCATGCAGCCCCCCCTCACCATCATGCAGCCCCCCCTCACCATCATGCAGCCCCCCCTCACCATCATGCAGCCCCCCCTCACCATCATGCAGCACCCCCTCACCATCATGCAGCCCCCCCTCACCATGATTCCTCTCTCCCGGATGGCAGCACCCCTCTCCCCCGCCAGCAGCTGCTGCGTGTTGCCTATGTCCACCTTGAACGTGCCTGGGCAGGGGTCAGGTGGGGGCCAGGAGAAAGGGCGGAGAAGGTGGGGGGCATGCAGTGCACGGGCGGGGCTTGGGGAGATGCGAGTGCAAGGGGGGACCAAGGGGGCAGCGGCACATGCAGTGGACCATGGCAGCACGCATGCAAGTGGGGGGGGGCATTGTGATGTGAGGGTGGGGCGGGGCCGCACCGAGGTCGCGGTTGTTGATGCCGATGAGTGTGACGCCCTCCAGCGCCAACACGCGGTCCATCTCCCTCTCCGTGTGCACCTGGAGGGGGGGGGACCGCAAGCCAGAGGGGCAGGAGGCAAGGCGGACGGATGGACAATGGGGCAGGGGAGGGACAGTGGGGAAATGGGGCAGAGTGGGCAAGGGGGGGCGGGAGCACAAGAGCAACGGGGCAAGGGCAAACAGAGAGAGGGAGCAGGGTGGCACGAAGACGAGTGGCAGGGCGGCAGGGCGGCAAGGAGGGGAGGCACCTCAATGAGGGCGGCCATGCCAAGCGAGTGCGTGATTTTCATGAGGTAGCGCAGGTCCTGGTCCGGCAGCACAGCGGCGATGAGCAGCACGGCGTCCGCGCCCTTGGTGCGCGCACAGTACACCTGCCACGCGTCCACCACGAACTCCTTGCACAGCAGCGGGCACGCCACGCCCGCCGCTCGGATCAGCTCCAGGTTCTCAAAGCTGCCCTGAGGGGGGAGCAAAGGGGGGTGGAGGGGAGCAGGGGAGGGCCAGGGGAAGCGTGAGGAGGAGAGTGATGGGGAAGGTGGTGGTGGTGGGCGGTTGGGTGGCGGACGGTTGGGTGGTGGAAGGGAGGTAGTTCGTGAGCAATGTTCGGTGAGAGGGATGACGTGCATGGCGCTTTCCATGTGAATGCTGTTGTGTGGCAGCACGGGTTGATAAGGCGAGCAGGCAGTGAGTGGCATGCACATGGATTGCAGGTGGGGGAATAGGCAGCTGGTGCGAGTGAGTGCGAGTGCGAGGGGCACCTGGAAGAACTTGGAGTCGGTGAGCACTGACAGGCACGCCGCCCCGCCCTGCTCGTACGCCTTCGCTATGCGCACCTGGAGATGGGGGGGAATAGGAGAAAGGGGGCGCAGACAGGTAGGAGGGAGAGGGACGCAGGCAGAGGGGGGGGAAAGGCAAAGGGTGGGTGATTGCAGGTGGGTAACGCCAGAGGCAAAGCACAGTGCAGGGCGGGGCGAGCGCAATGCGAGCAGCAGCTAAGGCGAAGACAAAAAGCGCCAGATTCGGCCAATGGATAGCAGCGCGCGGAAGTAAGGGGGGTGGAGCGAGGAAGGGCGGGAGCATGGTGGGGGCGCAGGGGCGCACAGGGTCGAAGTCGGGTTGGATGACGCCGCGGCTGGGCGACGCCTTCTTCACCTCCGCGATCAGCGCCGGCACGCCCGTCTCCGCCTCGCGCGCCCGCAGCGCGCCCACGAAGTCCCGCGCGGGTGGCGCGCCCTCGAGCGCGCGCGCGAGCGCGGAGAGCGGCGTGCGCTCCTTGAACGCCGCCACCTCGCCGTCCTTGTGCCACACGATCTCCTCCAGGATGTTTCGCGGAACGTTCTCCTCCACCTTGCCCCCCACGCGGAACTCGAACGGCCCCACCATGTGCGCCGCCGCCCCGCCCGGCGGCCTCCGCCGGATCGTCACTCCGTCGCGCTCCTCCGCCGTCGCCTCCGCCTCCCGCTGCTGCTGCTCCGCCCACCCGGGCGGGGGGACGGGGATTGGGGAAGGGGCCGTTTCTGGTTCCGCTGGCAGGGGGGACGGGTCGGGGGAAGCTGAAGCGCGCAGGACTGGCAGGCGCTGGGAAGCGGGGGAGAGGGGGAAAGGGGGAAAAAGGAATTGGAAGGGACGGAGGATGGGGGGAGTTGTTAGAGGAAGGGGACAAGAGAGGCCAGTGGCGCCACTGCAGGGCGGTGCAAGGGAAGCGGATCGGGCAGCGTGGATGCAACGGGAGGAGAAGGCGGTGAAGAGCGCAAGGGGGGGAGCGGAAGGAGGAGGAGCGGCAACAGAAGTCGGGCGCTTGGAATACAAGGCGCGGGGAACGAGCGAATGCGGGCGGGGAGCGACGGACGAGAGTGATGCGCCCCGCTCGGCATGGGCGCGCGGCACGAAGTGCGCCGAGCAGAAGGCGCACTGGGCAAGCGGCACTCACACGAACGGGCTGCGCCATTGTCGAGACGCTTGTTGCGGCGGAGTGCCACGTGGCGAGCGGGGAGCAGAGCGGGAGGGAGTGCGTGAGCGCGGTGGGCGCGCGGAGGGCGGCCATGGGAGCGCGCGGGAAGGGCGAGAGGTGCGCGCTGCGCGTTGCACGTGGTCGTGCAGAACGGACTAGCGCAATGAGTTGAGAAAGAGATAGGAGTTGGTGCGGTGGCGCAGGAAATGCGAAATGCAATGCACGAGTGGCAGCAGTGTGAAGTGAACCAAAAACCCAACCCAACCTCAGCAATAATAGAGTAATCAGTTTCGCCGATTTGGTTACAATCGCCAGGATTCCTCGCTACACCCCAAACCTCGCTCCTGCGTCCTCCTCGCCATCTATCGTGAGCGCGCGTGCGCCGACCGTTGGTGTCGTCGTGTCGCCACGCATGCTGACATCGCGCCGCCTCGCGTTGCTCCGCATGCAGATTCCCCGCCCCCCTCTCCCGCGCGCCTCCTCCGTGCAACTCCTACTGCCGCGCCTCCCGCTCCCCTGCATCTCTCTGCGCCATGCGCCATGTCCGCGCGTCCCCGCCCCTTGCGCTACCCTCCGCGCGCTCATCGCCTCGCAGCCGACCGCGACAAAGCGAGGGGCGCGAGGGATTGTAACAAATGGGCATGTATCGAGTGGGCATGTATCGAGTGGGCATGTATCGAGTGGACATGTAACGAGTGGACATGTAACGAGTGGCTCGGTATCGCCGAGTGAGATGAGCCGTTTAGCCTCAAGACGCTTGCTTGCTGCGCGCCAATGCGCACCTGCCACCCTGCATCGCGCAATAAGGGCGTGGGACCGCGGTGAGGCCGGTGGGTACAGCGCGATGTGCGCGAGAGGCGGAAGAAGCGCAGTGGCGGGGCGAAATATCGTGGCATATGGGGTTGGGAGGGGGGAAGCGGAGAATAGAGGGGAAGAGGGACGGATAGGAGGGATGGGTGACGAGGAGGGTGAGAGCGAGTTAGAGGGCGAGAGGGAGTGGTGGGAGGAGGAATTCAGTGACTCTGCAGAGGGGGAGAAGCGGGCGCACGAGAGCGCAGGAGAAGGAGGAAACGACGCGCAATCGGGGGAGGAGCAGGCGGGCGCGGAAGAGGCGCGGCGGGTGGCGGTGGTGGCGTACCTGGAGGGGGAGGGCGTGGCGGCGGAGCTGCTGGAGGGCGTCGCGCTGCCGCTCGACGTGCGCGTCGTGCGCGAGCGAGTGCAATTTCTGCGCGCGCTCCGCCTCGACGTCGCGGAGGTGGGTGGGAGGAGGGCGGTCCACGTGGCGGGGAGATGGGAGAAGGTCGTCATTCCGCCCCACCCCCATATGCATCACTTTTTTCGCTCACTACTCCTCCTCGCTGCCCCTTTTCCCTTCACCCCCCTCCGCCCCTCGTCCCTGCAGGTGGTGGGGCGGTATCCTCCGGTGCTGTGCGGGAGCATAGCGCGCAACTACGTGCCAGTGCTGGCGCACCTGGAGAGCATCCCCATCGCGCGCGCGCATCTGCCCGCGCTGCTCACGGCGTACCCGCGCGTGCTCTTCTCCTCCGTGCGCATCGACCTGCAGCCCGTGCTGCACTACCTCACAGGCCTCGGCGTGCCGCCCGCCGCGCTGCCCTCCATGCTGACGCGCTGCCCGCACCTGCTGGGGCTGCGACCCGAGGGCAGCATGAGCACGAGCGTGGCGTACCTGGTGGGCGTGGGCGTGGATCCCAAGGCCATCGGCAGCATGGTCGTGCAGCTGCCGCACCTGCTCACCATGCGCGCCGCCACCACCATCCGCCCCAAGGTCGAGCTGCTCTCACACGCCCTCGCGCTGCCGCTCCCCCAGGTGGCAACGCTGCTGCAGGCGCGACCCCACCTCCTCGCACTGGACCTGCACGCCCAGCTGCACCCCGCCCTCGCCGCCCTGCGTGCTGCCGGGCTCACGGTCCCGCACATGCACGCCGCTGTCACCGCCTTCCCACACCTCCTCGCCCTGCCGCTGTCTGACCTCCTGCCGCCCACCGTCCAGTGGCTGTCCTCTCACGCGCACGTGCCGCCCGCGGCCGTGGCGGGCGTGCTGGCAGGGCTGCCACAGCTGGTGGTGGCGGACAGGCGGCAGGCAGAGGGGAAGCTGCAGCGGCTGCGGGAGAGAGGGTTCTCCCAGCACCAGGTGGCAGCGCTGCTGGCGGGGTGTCCGCAGGTGCTGGGGCAGCGCGTGGACACCATTGAGAGGAAGCTTGCAATACTGCTGCAGCACCGGACGCATGCTGATGTGTCGGCTTTCCCTCCGTGCCTGGCGTGCCGAGAGGAGGTGCTGGAGGAGAGGCTGGGAGCGGCGCAGGCTGCCGGGGTGAGGGGGTCGCTGGAGTGGCTGCTGGATTGCCCTCCAGAGACCTTCCATGAGCGCTTGAGAACCGAGTTTGTCGTGCTGCCACCTCCTGTGGAGGTGGTCATGCAGGAGAGAGAATGATGATTCTGGGACACACACACACATGGGCCATGGCTTGATGTTGGAAGAATGTGCTGAGAAATATAATTGCGTCAGATGCTTGATGATGGTATCCGAGGTGCTGGCTGACTGAAACAAGCCTTGAGTCTTCATACTGAAACAGCACAGCACGTACCCCTCACACCCAGAGATACCTTCACAGAAGGCCTTAGTCAGCTGCTCTTGACAATAGTTGGGGTGTTTGTGTGCTGGCTTGGAGTGTATTTTCTTGCTTAAACGTTTCAGTAAATTTGCAAATTTTGTAACAGTTGTGAGTCTGGTTACATCGCCGTGATTGGCGCCTCATTTGAAGCCACCTGGGGTCAACAGACTGGCGTGGCGAAGAGGAGATTCCAAGGCGCCGTCCCTCCCTCCCGCCAAGCCCTTCCCACCTCGACCTCCCAGCACAGCAGCAGCAGCAGCACCAGGTGATTCGCTTCACTCGCGACTCTCTGCTTTGTCGAGGGTGCTTCACTATGCACCTCTGCTGCTGTCATTCTGGTTGACTTGACTGAGCCAGAACAGAGGCATGCTAGGACATGCGCGTAAGTTAGGCCACTAACACTGCACGTGGAGCCAGACATTTTCCTATGCCATTTAGCGGCTTCGATTAAACTCCGTTCATCTGTCACTAATTTCTGTTTTATCCTTCTGAACTAAATGTCATTCTCAAAACGCTCCGCGCATTTGGACCGAGTGCGCTGATTTCGCTTAGTTCACCATCCCCTTTCGCACCGCGTCGCCTGCATCCTGGCGTCGCCGCTAGCCTCGGCGCCCGGCTCGGCGCGCTGCGATGGACGCCGTGTACGGCTTACTTTCGGGCAGCTGGCTGCTCGGCACCCCCAAGGCGCCGCCAAAACCGGAGGCAGTAGATGACGTGGACAAGCCAGTGCCGGAGGAATGGAGGTCCAAGTATCCCTTCAGGTGCGCGCACTCGCCGCTCTAGCCGAGCGCTGGTGCTAGTCCGTCGCGCAATAGGCTCTTCTCGTCGTCGTCGCCACGCGCAATAGTCGTCGCACCTGGCAGTGGCGCGCTGTCGAGCATGACCATGCCCTTGTACATGTCCGTCCGTCGAGTCAGTTCTCGCCGCAACTGCATCCGCCAACCGCGCTCTCCCGCGCTCCCCGCTCATCACTCCCCCTGTGCGCCGTGTCGTCCGCGCGCCCCTTCCCCCGCAGAAGCGACGATCCCACGGAGCAGCGCCTGAAGCAGCTGCTGGAAGCGTACGAGGAGTCGAGCAGAGAGGTGAGGAGTGGTTCAGCGAGGTGCGATTGTAGAAAATTCAGAAGAATATGAAGGCGCACTTACGATGAGGGAATTGGGAATGAGTCTTTGTTCGACGAGTCTTCTAAGATTCAAAACTTGCGCGTCAGCTTTCACTGCTCCTGTTCCCCCCTCCTCCACCCCCTCTCCCCCTTCCCTCCAATCGCTCCCTCTGCGCGCGGCGCGCGGGCAGGGCGCGTCAGCGGCGGCGAGCGCGACGCTGCTGGTGTTCCTGTCGGCGCTCGTCGAGGCGTACGCCGACTGGTTCCCGCCGGAACCGGACCCCGACGCGCACGGTCGCGCCGATGACGCGCACGACGACGCGCACGGGGGCGACGGCGCGGAGGGCGAGGGGGAGGCGGGCGGGCAGCGGCTGGGGCACCCGCTGGAAGTGGTGCGGTGCGTGGCACGCCAGCTGGCCGAGTTTGCACGCGTGGCGAAATGTGAGTGGCTGCGGTGATGGATTGGGTGGCTTGCGTGACGGAGGTTCTGGTTGCACTGCTTGCCGTTGGTGGTGGTTCGTTCTGGTGCCTCAGGTCGGTCCCTTGCACTGCCCGCTCTGTCTCCACTCACTTCTCACTCAAATCCCTCCCTCACTCCCTCCCTCTCACCGCCTCCCTCCATCCATCTCTCCCTCCCTCCCGCCAGCACGAGGGCCATCTGCGTCTGCAGAAAATCAATCCGCCAATCAAGACGCGCCAGGTGGCAGCGCATCAGAGGGGCAGAGCCGGTCGGCGGTGGGCAGCACGACGCTGTGGATCGCATCGCTCGCCATGGGCGCGGGCAGGGGGGCGGGGGGGGGCGCAGGGGGCGCGGGGGAGGCGGGGGACTTGGAGGAGGAGGCGGCGGCGTGGGATCGCACGATGCTGGCGCTGCGCGCGGCGTCCATCATCTCGCGCAGCGCCCACAACCGCAAGCTGCTCGCCTTCTTCCGCTCCGTCTCCGCCGCCATCCACATCCTCTCCGGTGCAGTGCAACCCCACCCACCCATTTGACTCTCCCTGTTCCAGCTTCCTCTCTTCCTCCCATCCCACGCTCAACCCTCTCCTCTTCCCCCTCTCTTCCCCCCTACTCCCCCCTTTCCGCCAGGCATATCAGCGGACCTGCGCGTGGCAGCGGCGCCCATTATCTCCACGCCCATGCCCTCGCCGCACCCCGACCCCCCGCGGGCCACACCGGGGAGGAGCATCACCACCACCGGCACCAGCAGCAGCGGGCGGGGGGCGGGCAGTGCGTGGGGGGCAGAGTTCGGGGTCAGGCAGCCAGGGGGCGACCGGGACGGGGATGCCACGGCAGCAGCACCTGCTGCTGCAGGCAGTGCGGGCAGGGAGGGGGGTGGGGCAGCTGGGGCAGCGGGGGC